TTCTCTGAGGACACACATTGGGGTCCGGAGGCTCCTAGGGTCACACAGAGGGGGTGGACACTTCTGTGGTGACAAAGGCTGACATATGGCCACTGGTGAGGTCACCCAGACTGGGACATGGGTGCTACTGCTGACTGACCTACTCAGCAGTGGGCACACCTGTGGTCAAAGAGACTGGAGCTTTCACAACTCTGTGGTCAGAAGCTTTGGGCTATGCACACTTATGGGGTCACACATACTATGTTTTGAATACCCCAGGTGTCACACAGACTGGAGTGCATACCCTCCTGTGGTGCTATGAACTACGCTATAGGCACTTTTGGAGGGGACAATGACTAGTAACCCTTGGGGTCACACCGACTGGGGAATGGACACCCATTCTTGTCACACAGTTTAAGCAGTTGGCACCCTGTGGACAAACTGACAGGGGGGTATATGCTTTTGGCGTGACACAGGCTGGGGTCACAGGGACTGGAGAATAAGTGTTTGTGTCATCACAGACTGGGATGGAAACACTCCAGGAGTCACTCAGGCTAAAGTAAGTACTCCACTGGGGACATACCGTCTGGGGTATATGTACCTCTGTGGAAAAACTGACTTTGGTGTGGAAAATTCTGGGGTCAGAGGGGTGTGGAGACTCCTGGAGTCACAAGATGAGGGCATCCATGCTCAGGGACAGACGGGTGGAGAGTGGGCACTCCCAAGATGGGAGACTGGGCCTAGGCCAGACTGGGCCCTCCTGGGCCACATACTTGGGAGTGTGGGCGCCCTGGGCCACGTAGACTGGGGAATAGACATTGCTCCAGTTGAGAGACTTGTGTGCATATGCTTCTGATGTCACACAGATGGGGGCGGACACAACTAGGGACACGCAGCCTGCGGTGAGTACACTCATGGGGGCCTAAAGGCTGGTGTGTCCCCGCTCCTGGGAATTCAGGTGTGCGCGCTCCTGGGGTCTGACGCCGGTGCCGACCCTGCTGAGTTTGCATGGGAATGGGCGTGGATACCCCTGCGGTCACACCTCTTGTGCAGAGACTTCCGTCATACATTCCTGGGGTCAGACAGACTGGGGTGTGGACATTCCTGTGGTCATACCGACGTGGTGAGAAGATTCCCGGTTAACGTGCTGTGGTGCGGCCCCTCCCCCAGGGTTACAGACTCAGTATGGACACTCCCAGGGTCACAAAGTCAGGGACAGAAATACCTAGGGTCACAGACTGGATGTTGGTAGCTCTGAGGTCAGTGGACTGGGGTGTGGACAGAGAATGTGAGTTACTAAAGATACGGCAGCGAGCTGCGGAAACTGGGTGTGCTTATGTAGCTGGTGTTTGCCAGCTCCTGTTTGCTAGATTACAGACATTCAGGACTGCAGTCATGGCTGACTTTCTGACATTTCTTTAAGAAAGGGGTTCTTAACATTAAAAAATGTGTTCTGGGGAACGCTTTGGCATCTGGTTAAATCTGTGGATGCCTTCACATTTTAAAAAGCATATATTTAGAAAAATTTACTAAAAAGGAGGCACAAGAAGTATTTTAAAAAGCATCCATGTGTGTGCATAAGTGTGCATGCACACACACACACACACACACACACACAAATACACAGGATTATTATGGAAACCAATGAAATATTATGGAGGTTCCTCAAACAATTCAATAGAACTACAGCATGATCCAGTGATCTCTGGATCCCAAATATGTACTTCTGGGTATATTTCCAAACGAGATGAAATCACCATCTCAAACAGTACATGCACCCCCATGTTCACTGAAGCATTATTCACAATAGTCAAGGTGTGGAGGGTATAGCTCAGTGGTAGAGTGTGTGCTTAGCATGCATGAGGTCCTGGGTTCAATCCCCAGTACCACCGTTAAAAACAAACATATCAGTCAAGATATGGAAACAAACCAGGTGTCTGTCAACAGATGAGTGGATAAAGAAAAGGTGGTATATGCATACAATGGTATATTTATTATTCAGTCATAAAAAAGGAAACAGACCTTGAGGACATTATACTAAAAGAAGTAAGTCAGAGAAACAGATATACTGTACAATTTCACTTACATATGGAATCTTAAAATGGGTGAAGGTGGTCAAAAGGTACAAATTTCCATCTATAAACAAGTTCGGGAGATGTGATGTACAGCATAGTGACTCTACTTATCAATAATCTATTGTATATTTGAAAGTTGTAAAAGAAAGCAAATCTTAAAAAAAAAGAAAGCAAATCATAAAAGTTCCCAACACAAAAGACCCAGAATTACCAAAGCAAAATAGAAGAAAAAGAACAGAACTGGAGGAATAACTCTCCCAGACTTCAGACAATACTACAGACCTACAGTAATCAAAACAGCATGGTATTGGCATAAAAACAGACATATGGATCAATGGAATAGAATAGGGAGCCCAGAAGTAAATCCACAGACCTATTGTCAATTAATCTTTGACAAAGGAGGCAAGAATATACAACGGAGAAAAGATAGTCTCTTCAGCAAGTGGTATTGGGAAAACTGGACACCTGCATGTAAACCAATGAAGTTAGAATACTCCTTCACCCCATACACAAAAATAAACTCAAAATGGCTTAAAGACTTAAACATAAGAGAAGACATGATAACTCATCTAGAAGAAAACATAGGCAAAACATTCTCTGACATAAATCTTAGCAATGTTCTCCTAGGGCAATCTATCCAGGCAATAGAAATAAGGAAGAAAATAAACAAATGGGACCTAATTAAACTTATAAGCTTTTGCAAAGCAAAGGAAACCAGAAGCAAAACAAAAAGACAACCTATGGAATGGGGGAAAATATTTGCAAATGCTGTGACTGACAGAGGCTTAATTTCCAGAATATATAAACAGCTCATACAACTTAATGACAAAACAACCAAATCCAAAACTGGGCAGAAGACCTAAACAAGCAATTCTCCAATGAAGACATACAAATGACCAACAGGCACATGAAAAAATGCTCAATATCACTAATTATCAGAGAAGTATCACCTCACACCAGTCAGAATGGCCATCATTCAAAAGTCCATGAATGATAAATGCTGGAGAGAGTGTGGAGCAAAGGGAACCCTCCTATCCTGTTGCTGAGAATGTAGTTTGGTGCAGCCATACGGAAAACAGTATGGAGATTCCTCAAAAAACTAAAAATAGACTTACCATATGATCCAGCAATCCCACTTCTGGGTATATATCTGGAGGGAACTTGAATTCAAAAAGATATATACACCCCAGTGTTCACAGCAGCACTATATACAATAGGCAAGACATGGAAGCAACCTAAATGTCCATTACAAATGACTAGATAAAAAAATTGTGGTATATTTATACAATGGAATACTACTCAGTCATAAAAAATAAAATGCCATTTGCAGCAACATGCGTGGACTTAGAGATCATCATTCTAAGTGAAGTAAGCCTGAAAGAGAAAGACCACATGATATCACTCATATGTGGAATCTAAATAAAAAAGAAAGAAAAAAAAGGACACTATGAACTCACCTACAAAACTGAAACACTCGCAGAAACAGTAAACAATCTTACAGTTACTGGGGAAAGGGGATGGGAAGGGATAAATTTGGGAGTTTGAGATTTACAAATGTTAGCCACTATATACAAAAATAGACTTAAAAAGTTTCTTCTGTATAGCACAGGGAACTATGTTCAACATCTTGTAATAATCTTTAATGAAAAAGAATATGAAAATATATGTATGTATATGCATGACTAGGATATTGTGCTGTACACCAGACTGACACATTGCAACTGATTGTACTTAAATTATTAAAAAGTTCCCATCACAAGAAAAAAAATTGTAACTATGGGAGGTGATAGATGTTAACTAAACTTGGGGTAATCATTTTGCAATATGCACACACATTAAATCATTACTGTTGTACACTTTCAACTGACACAATGTTTGATATCAATTATACCTCAAAAATTGCAAAAATCTTACCATATTAAAATGAGATGATACTGGGGTACTGTATTATACATGAACTTTTTTATTAGTACATCAAATTATAACATCTTATTCAAAGTAGTGACCCATGTGAACAATACTTTAAGCTGCCCGCAACAACTGTAATGTAACATAAAAAAGTAACTGTGATCTGCGTTGCTGGGAAAGTTGCAGTCACTGCTTTCAGTATTGTAATTTGCTGCCAGCATTCAGATTTGGGAGTAACACAAAATTTGTTATATTAGTGAAAGTAAAGATATCATATTTCCCTGCATCAAAGTCACAGGTAACCCTGACTTCTATCCAGATTAAAAACCCCTGCTTTTGGGGTAAATTCTGGACATAAATCAGGACACTGCTGGAAAGACTTAGAGAAGAAGCAAGACCTCATTCAAGAATCCCTCTGCATGACTGGATAAAGAAGATGTGGTACATATATACGATGGAACACTACTCAGCCATAAAAAAGAATAAAATAATGCCATTTGCAGCAATATGGATGGACCTGAAGATTGTCATTCTAAGTGAAGTGGGCCGGAAAGAGAAAGAAAAAATGCCGTATGACATAATTTATATGAGGAATCTAAAAAACAACAATAAGGACACAAATGAACTAATTATTTTGCTTTCTTGAATATGTGTAAGCACATTTGACTGTCCTTTATGATTGGATTACCGTATTCTGTTGATTCCTATCTTGTAGTTGGCTTTATTCCTTTGATTACTATGTAAGTTTAAAAAGCTAAAGATCTAATCTGTTCTTAGAAACCATGATCAGTACATATATGAAAACTAAAAAAGTGTGCAGTATATTGTATATATGTATTTACATGCAGTATAATGTGTATGTGCAGTCGAACTGTAATAAAAAAAAAATCCCTCTGCAGGGCAGATGGACATGCCGTGAAGTTTCTCTCCTCGCTGTGTTCGTGGTGGTTGTTCCAGGTTCCCACTCGGGGCTTGTATGTTCAGGATCCGATGATGAGATATTTCAAAACAAGTTCATCAACTCAAGTTCTGGTTTTCCTGACAGCAAACAGCTTCCGAGTCCTTATCAGATTGCCAGCTAACTGAAGGTCAAAGTAAAAGGAAGTTTTAAACCAAAAGGTATTTTCCCACTGTCTTCTACTAGAATCTTTGTTTGCTCAGCTACTAACATTTTTGTGAAGCTTTGTTTCCCCTTCTATTGTCAACCATAATCCACAGAAAAATGCCCAGAACATGTAATAATGTTCATTCTCTTTGATGTGTAGTTCTCCATTGTGAATATACCAGGATTTAATGATCCATTCTGCAGCTGATGGGTGTCTGGGCTGCATCTAATCTGGGGGTACTACAAATAGTGCTGGCTAGGAGCATTCCAGTACTCATTTCTTAGGAGTGGAATTGGCACACATGCAGCTTAAGCAAATACTGCCTAACAATTTTTCCACAGTGGCCGCACCATTTTATGCTGCCATTGGCGTATATGAGGGTCCCAACTGTTGCACGTCTTTCCAGACACCCGGTCTTGTTAATCTTTTTAGCCGTAGCTTGCATTTCCCCAAGGAGCAGCTTTTCATGTACTTATTGACCATTCTCATATTTTCTTTTCCTTCTTGATTTTTAGGAGCTTTTTAATATCAAGGATAACCATCTATAGGGATTATAAATATCTTTTCCCATTGTGATTTGCCATTTCATTTTTTTAAAGGGGTCTTTTTTACTTCTTATTTTAATGTAACACTTGGTCTGAATAACCTGCTAAGCCATTGTCAGAAAGGGACATCCCTGGGGGGAGGGCATAGCTCAAGTGGTAGAGTGCATGCTTAGCATGAACGAGGTCCTGGGTTCAATCCCCAGTAGCTCCCCTCAAAATAAATAAGTAACCTAATTACCTCCCTCCCCCTACCAAAAAAAGAAAAAGAAAGGGATGTCCTCTAATGTGGTGTCCTGAGGATGAGAAGCCCTCCAGCACTGACAGCCCAGGCTGTTCCAGGCAAACTGGTCCCTCGCTGCTCCCTTACACACCAGGCAGTTCTACCTCAGGGCCTTTGCACCTGCTATTTCCTCTTCCTGGAATGCCCTTCCCCTAGATAAATACAGGGATCCCCTCCCTCAACTTATTCAGGTGACCTCAACTTATTCAACATGACCTCAGTGAGACCATCCCTGATAACCCTCTTAAAACCTGCAAACTGCCATTCCCTAGAATTTTTGATCTCTTTATCCTGCTTTAAAAATTTTTCATATCCCATATTATTACTTTTACATGTTACATATTACACATGTATATAGAGATAGTGTGTGTGGGTGGGTGGAAACTCCTGCATTCAGACTATGTTATCGTTTATGACCTTTCCCCCAAACTAGGAGCTCTGAGAGCCGGGATATTTGCCTGTTTTGTTCCTGCTCTATCTCCAAACCTAGAACAATGCCCGCACATAGCACATGCTCAATAAATGTTTACCAAACGCCTCAATGTGTAAGATGTAAAATGCTTAAAGCAGTTCCTGGCATATAACATCAGGTGTTTTAGTAAAGGTTTGCTGAAAGAAACCTTACCTGTTGACATAAAAATTGCAAAAGTGAAATTTTACTCAGTTTTTTCTTCAAGGTGCCCTTTACTCAAACCCTTAGATAAAAAAGCAAATATTTACCTGAACGTGTTAAGGTGAACAATTCATTTCACTGTCTTCCACCTACCCAAGAAAAAGAAAAGGGGCTCAGACACTTGGCTAAATTTTTCCATTCATTATACTTGGTTTTACCCATTGATTTTTATAGGTATTGGGAGGCAAGGAAGAGACTTGCCCCAGAAACCATGAGATCTGGGGCAGAAAGGGGCACACGGGGAGGGGGTCACTATGGGCAGAGAGGAAGGGCACCCAGGGCCCTGGGCCCAATTTCCAGACCTCAGAGGCCAGCATGGTGTGGCGCTGTGGGGCGGTGAGGGGCTGGGGCAACGTGTCCACTGTGCCAATGGGACAGTCCTGGGGGCGGATCTCCTTGGCCAGCCGCCCCTTCTTCTTCAGCGTGCAGGCCTCCTGGTATGGCGGTGAGATGGGGGGCTGCGTGGGTGGAGTGTACTTGTACTCTGAGCCGTCCTCTAGCTGCAGGGACACGTTGTGGGGGATGGTGAGGACCTGGGAACCTAGGACAGCACTCCTCCACCCACCCACTGTTGGCTGGGCACTTACGTCCAGTGGGTAACTGCGGTCTGAATCGTAGGCACTCAGGTCCCCACAGGTCACAAATGGCACAATGATGCGGGTGGGACCATCTAATTGGTTGAAATCTGGATCTGACAAGCAGGGAGCAATGAGAGAGGACAGGGCTGGGGTGTCTGGGACCAGTCATGACTCAGGCCACATGCAGCATGGGTACTGAGGCCTCCCCATGTATCTACCAGCTACTCTTACACTCCACTGGAAATCCTTCATTTGGCTCAGATTACCTCCTCAGGGAAGCCCTTCATGATCACCCATCCTAAAGCATATCCTCCCCGCCCCCACTTTTCTCTCATTGCACTTTATGTCCACTTGCCAACCTAACATATGCCACCTGGACTTTGTCTCACTTAAGTGTGTTTGCCACAGGAGCAGCTCCATGCCTTTTCCCTCTAAGGGCCAGGCTGAAGAGCCTTAAGGGACAAAATTTCCAAACAGGGGTGGGGCTTCCACCTGGGGGCGTGACTGAGTCTCCCCAGGCTAGAAACTCCTTAGGCTGTAGTCTCCACTGGGGCAGGACTCAGGATCCTCCCAGGACAGAATCTTTTTTTCAATCAGTTCTAAGAGTTACCACCAGGGGACTGGGCTGAAGATCCTCTTGGGACAAAATATCCATACAGGGTGGAATTTCCACCAGAGGGTGGGGCTGAGGATCCTCCAGGGACAGAATTCCCCTAAGGGGCAGAGCTTCCAACCGGGGGTGGGGCTGAGGGCCCTCCCGAGATGTAAATTCCACAAGCCGACAGCATCTCCCCAGGGATGGGGCCCAGGGCTCTGGCTCTCACCGTAAGAGTGGTCCAGCAGGGGTTTGGTCAGGTCCGGTAGGAAGCCCTCAGGGGGGTCATAACCCTGACAGACAGCGAAGGCCTCTGTGGGTAGAAGGTAGAGTGAGGGGCGCTTGCTACTTCCACCCTGTGTGGGAAGCGTCCCTGAGATTCGCACCCACCTGCCCGGCCCCCCAACCCACTGACCGATGCTGGAGTTCCGGCTGCTCCGGGGCTTGGCGCAGAGTACGCTGGAGAAGAAGACCCGCAGCTGGCTATAGATCAGTGTCACATCCCGGCCCCGGAAGATCTCCAAGGTGGGGAGGTAGAGAGGGAAGCGTGAGGCTGGCCCCTTCGGGAGCCCTTTCTACACCCTACCAAGTTCCCCAAGGCTTACCTTGGCCACAAAGCAGCCCCCTGGCTTCAAGACGTGGGTAGCGATGTTCAGAGCCTGTGGGCAGGACAGATGGCTAAGGCTGCCATGGAGACAGCCAGGAGGGGGCCAAACCGAGGCAGGGGCGGCCAGGGTTACTCACGGCTAGGAGGAGCTGGGCCTGCATATACTCATCAACATCATGGAGACCGGTTACTGCGGCAAGAGGAACAGCATTAGGGGGCCATCCAGTTCTAGCTACCTTCCTGTCCCAGACAGATCAGAATGCTAAGAACATATCCCAGGCTCTCTTACTGCCAAGGTTCTGCGTGCAAATTAGTATCTGCCAACTAGATGCACATTCTGAGCTCCTAACCCTTAGGTGCTCAGTTTAATTCTCAAGACAAACTTTACACGCAAGGATCATTATCACCATTTCGACTTCCACTCCCAGGCCATTCCTCTTACCTCCAGACTCAGATCAGAACCAGCATCTCAGACTCAACACGTCCAAAAACAAACTCCCGACCTTCCTGCCCAAACCTGCTCCTCCCGCCATCTTCCCCATCTCATCTGATCTTTCCAGTTGTTCAAGCCAAAAACTTTCGAGTTACCTTTGACCCACATTCTCCACTGTCCTCACACCCACGTTACAACCATTAGCAAATCCTCTCAACTCTACTTTCGAAACGTCTCTCTACTCATTCCTGCCACCACTCATAACTCCTCCCCTCCGAGGAGGCCTGATTCTACGCTCACGCCTCACACTGCTCACGGCCCAAGTGGGGTACAGCCCTCCTCTGCTCACAACCCTCTTGTGGTTGTTCTCCATGCTTTCATCTCAGTGAAGAAGCCAAAGTCCTCAGTGTGGCCCACAAAGATCCACATGAGGATCTGGTCCCCATCACCTCACTGACCTCACTGACTACCACTCTCCCCCTCACTCACTCTGATCCAACCACACTGATTTCAGTGTTCCTCGTACAGACCAAGCACCCTCCTACTGCAGGGCCTTTGCCTGGGCTGGTCCGTTTGCCTGGACTGCTCTTCCTCTAGGTGTCCTCCTGGCCCACTCCCGCACCTCCTTGAGGTCTTTATGCTAAAGCCAGCGAGGCCTTCCCTGGCCACTTTATTTACAATTCCTACAGGTGATCCCCATCCCCCTCTCCTTTTCATTGATTCCCCCAGTACCTATCACCTTCTGACATGCTACCAAGCTCAATCATTTGCCTCTTTTCTGTCTGCTCCCACTAAAACACCAACTCTATGAGGTCAGAGATTAGGAGAATTTTATTCACAAATGTTTTCCCAACATGCAGAACAGTGACACACAAGAAGGGCTCAGTCCATGTGCTGAATGGCTGGCTGGCTGACTGAGAGAAAAGAAGAGTGAACAGTAAGATGGAATTGGACAGTTGCAGAGAGACGAGCATTAAGACGACAAAAAGGGACAAAACCGAAATGGTAGAGTATGGGGAGGGAGAAGACAGAGGCCGAGACCGAGGAACAGAGGGAGGGAAATGCCAGGCGTGGGCACGGCTGACAGCAGAGGGGAGAGGCAGGGAGTAGTAGAAGCGGTGAAAGAAGCCAACAGAGTGGGGAGATACAGAGAAGGACACACACAGGCCCCCTGCCTGGCCTCCCAATCCCTGCTGGTTACCATCGGGCGCCCCGTCGCACACCACGAGGTCTGCGGGGCAGCCCTCAAAGTGCTGGATGATCTCCTTGGCAGTGGACAGCTGTGGAAGAGAGGGAGGATGAGTGGCGCCAAGCCCTCCTCCACAGCCCTTGAACCCCACCTGCCCTTGGCCCTGGCCCAGCCAAATTCCCAGGCTCCGCCTAAGACCCAGTCCCATCTCCAGGGACCCAGTCTTAGCACTTTTTGTCGTCTCCCCCTGATGGTGATCTGCTGGCTCTATTACTCTGCTATTACTCTCTCGGGTTCTCTCAGTTACTCTATCTCTGTCTGTCTTTTTCAGTCTATTTCTCTGTCTCTCTCTTCCACCATCCGTAGCTCCCAGGTTGGGGGACCTTTGCCCAGGATATACCCCGACACCCTGGCCATGCTCTCACCTGGGTGATATCCCCCTGGATCTGTAACACACCTGGTAGTGGAGCCATAGCCTGAAGGTCCACGGCCACCACGTGGCCAGACCCCTGGCCCCTGTGGACAACACAGTCCATGTCAGCCCAGTTTTCACTCCTGGCCCACCCTCCACCTAACCTGCCCTCCTGATCCCACTTCTGGGACTCCAGACTCACCCAATCTTCTGGCTCAGCACCTGGCTCCAGCTGCCCGGGGCTGCACACAGGTCAACTGCCCGAGTCACGCCTAAGCACACGCAAGAAGGTATAGTGGTCAGTCGCACCCATCTCTCCAACCTGGTACCCTGAAAAGTTCCTTCATTTCCCCTGGGGAGCACCCATATTTATCTGCTGCCCAGATATTCAGCTTCTTCTGAGTACCTGCCCATCTTCCTGCCTGGGCCCTGCCCCAGAGACCCTCCAAGTCAGCCCCTCTACCATAGGGAGCTCTGCAGACCTAGCCCACTTATCTACTCCCTTCACCCGCCCCATCCCCCAGTGACTCGCCCACCAAGTGGGGACCTTGGAAGAGCTGGAATTCCTCGTCAAGTTGTAGCAGCTTGAAGGCACTGCGGGCACGCCAGCCATTCTCCTTGGCTAGGCGGTAGTAGACATCCCGCTTGTCCTTTGACGTCCGTCCCATCTCACACACTGTTTGCCCAGGGACCTGCCAACAGTAAGCTGATACCACTCTGTATCAGTAACTGGGTGAGTGGGCCATCACCTACCTCTGCAGGGCAGCGAGAACCACACAAACTGAACTGGACTTCTCTAACCCGTGTGACAGCTCACTCAGCAGATGGGAAGGCTGGAGCCTGGTCACTGACCCTAAGGACCTCACAGTCTGAAGGATCCCAGCACTGAGCTCTCAGGCTCCATCACGCACCCCACAGAACACCCCACTGCTCACTCCGTCACTAATCCCACAGATCCCACAAACCCAACACTTATCTCATAAATGACCTACTACTGACCTGGTCAAGCTCCCACTGCTGTCACCCACACTCCACGTATTAAATCCTGTTGCTCTCGCTACCAACATTTCTCTGCCCACCTTATCCCACTGTCTCTCCAGCCGTCCTCATTGCCCCTAGAGTCATGTAGCCTGACCAGTCCCCCATTAGTTCCTTGCTTTCATCCCCATTATCCTCATCCCAACTCATTGCACTCACCACCTCCTTAATCTCTCTCCTCTGAAATGATTAGGCCCCCGATAATTCCTTTATTAATACATCCCTGTCAACCCCCACTAATGCCTGGAGAATTATGACCTATTAGTTCCCCATCAAGCTCTCAATTACTATGATTTATCAGCGCCCATTAACTCAGCCCTCCAATTGATCCCTCATAGATCACACCATCAGTCCCCAGTAACCCTTCATTATCACACACTTGTGTTAATCCCTGAAGATCAGACATCAGTTCCCCATTCTCCCCTCACTGCCCACCTTCTCTCCCCAATGATCACACCCAACAGCTTACTATTACCCTGACTTTGCTCACTTTGTTCCCATTAATTCCTCAGTGATCATGCCATGATCACCCACTAAAATCCTTTGATTACAACACCCCTTCAGCCTCTCATTCTCTCTTCTTTGATCACTGCCCCCATTAGTTCCTTGATCATGACCCTCCTTCCAATTACTATGCCCCACCACTCTTCATTAACCTGTTGAGTATCATGCCTCCATCAGTCCCTCAGGGATCACACTCCTACCTGCCCACTCTACCATCACCTCATTAACTAATGAACACATCCCCGCTGGCCCCCATGAACACTTCGACTAAAACAAGCCTATTAGCCCCAACTGATTCCCCAATAACACTCTCACCAGACCTCTATTACACCCACGCGGCCACCAAACCCCCACAGCCCTCTGGTTACACCCCCGGTCCCTCCTCCTCATTACTTCAAAGCCCAAATCCCCACTGGGACCACCAGATTCCTCTCAAGGCGGCTCTGCCGGTATCTGGACCCCTGCGCTCCCTGACCCCAGTCCACCCCGCATGAGTGATCCCCTTCTCCGGACAAACCTTGGGTCTGGCGCCTACCCGGTGTCAACTGCCCAGACCACGCAGCTGCAGCGCTGAGGACGAACTTCCCTCCTTCCCTCGCTGGCGGGACAGCGCAGGCGTGCCTCAACAGTCTCGGCCCGGACCCAAGTCCTCCGTGCCCCAGGGCCTACCTTAAACTTTCGGAGTGGGGAGAAACCGGACGAAGGAGGCCAGTTCGCGAGCAGCCCGAGCCTCGGCGAGGGTGCAGACCGGTGAGAAATCGTAGGGTTTCAGTTTGTGTTCTTAGTTGATCCGAATGTCTGTTGCGCATGCCTAAGGGCGACCGCAGCGTGGCCAGCCTGTCATCGTGGGACGCAGAAGCTCGCGCGGAGCCGGGACCCGGCCGGAACACACCACATGAATTCCGTCATTTCGCGCCGACGTAGCGGGTCTGGCGAACTGCCGTTCCCAGCATGCAACGGGCGCGAGCGAAGTCGCGCATGGCGCGGCCGAAATGTCGCGAGGCACGAGAACTGACTTCGTTCTTTTGTTCCAAGGCGAAAGTCGAAGTACTCTCCGCCCCTCCCTTCTGAGACAATGGCATTCTTTGAGCCTGCGGACTACATTTCCCAAGATACAACGAGCACGCCGACAGCTATTCATTTTTCGAGTGCAGCAAAGGGCAATTATACCGCTGGGGTTGCGAACGAGTGAGGAAGGAAAGTGCGTTAATTAAGTGCGCGAGCGCGCTGAAGCTGCTCGGCAGCAATTTCAAATCTCATTTCCGCTAGTTGATAGTGCCTTCTGGCTGTTACCATCTTGGAACTTTGGTTTCTCCATCTGTAAAATGGGAATAATAAATAGAACAGACTCTGCAGAGTTATTAGGATTAAATAGGAGTAGTTAAGCACACTGTAATTCTGTGTTCTTCAAACATTTTTAACTCGGACCTAGAAAAAAAAAGACTGCATCGCGACCCAGTGCACAAGCAAATACAGTAATGGAAACATTTAGTATAGCGTTTACCATGTGCCAGGCACTCTTTTGAGTGCTCTCAGGGATGTGCTGGTAAATGGTTAACAATTAGCTCTTTAGGTGGAGAGGGAGAGGAAGCCCTGATTTCTAACATTTACCAGTTTCCATGGTTTGCATACTATCATCTTGTCACATTTCAACTTATCAACGTGTAGTCACGGAACACAGAGTTTGAAAGAGATGCAGTAGTGCACCATTGTGTGTTATTTTTACCATACAGTTAAAATTAGGGGTAAATGACCTCAGGAGCACAGAAATAATGAAATGTAGTAAAATAATAACTAGAAAGTGATGTTTTGAGTATCACCTTTTAAAATCGAATTTATTTAATTGTAAGTCTATGCCATTTTATTTTTAATAATAGCTGTGTTTAACAACCAGTTTGCAAAATTTCTGAAAATTGAACCAGCAGCTCTGCAAACGTATACAATTAGGCTCCAGCTCATAACTGAACCCTTTCCTTTAACTCATTTTAATCCTTGCAACCACCATATGAGGTGATTACTGTAATTATCACAGTTTACATGAGGAAAAGGAGACAAAGGAGGACATATATATATACATATATACATAATTAGATATATAAACATATGATATAGAAATATATAGTGATGTATATTATTGACTAGTATATAAATTATATATTAGTAAGCAAATATAAGTATAAATATGCCATAATATGTAAATGTAAGAAAATATATATATTTTAGCATTTTGTACAGTGTATATATAAAGTATACAAATCATGTAAATGTATGTGCTGATAAATATGTAAATCTGCTAGTATCTATATGCATCTACTTACTAAAGTAATTGTACTAAATGTAAATATACTATTAAGTGTATAAATATAGAATGTTGTGTCAGGTGGTGATAAAAGCTGTGAAGAATAATAAAGTAGGGTGAAAGGAATGGAGAGTAAGCCGGGTCGAATTGCTGTTGTAGACAGCGCGGTCAGGGAAGGCTTTCTGAGGAGCTGAAGGGGAGCACACCCTAGGAGTATTTGGAGGAAGAGCATTCCAGGCAGAGGGAACACCAAGTGCAAAGACCCTGAAGCGGGAACAAGCTTGGCGAGTAGTCAAAGAACTGAACAATCGATTCATCACTCCTTAGAAATGTGAGCTTCGCTAGGCAGGGGTTTCTGTTGTTTTGTTCACTGCTGCCTCCCAGGCACCTAGAATAGGGGCCCGGCCCACGGTTGGTGTTCCGGGGATGTTTGCTGAATTCACCCTTTTGTTGCTTTTCTCCTTCACTCTCTCCTTAGCGGTGTGCTTTGCGTTTCTGCTGGACCCTGGGAGGAGGCGTGGACCGACGAGCAGAGACGCGGAAAGCACCTCCTGGAGAGCTAGGGAGGAAGCCAGAGCTTGTCAGCGGAGTTCAAGGGCGTTGCGGGGGGCGGTGGGAACACGGCTCCCCTGCGGAGGTGAGCAAGTGTGAGAAAGCAAGGTTTCAAGCCACCAGGCCGCTGCCCTACGGAGAGGAGGGGGTGCCAGGGTTTGGGGGCCCGTGTTCATCCTGTGGGACGCTTCCCACGTCCTGTTTTCTTGCCTCTCCCAAAGAGGATGTTTAATTTTTCGCAAAGAAACTTGCTTCCTCCAGCAGGGCCAGGGGATTGGGGGACAGCCGCCAGGCTCTGAACTCCCCAGGCTCTTCCCGAAGTAGAGTGTCGACCTGCAGCTCCCACCCGGCACCCCACTGAGTGTAAAGGTGTCCTCCCTTCAGCCTCCTGAAGAGGTCAAGGATAGGGGAGCTGCCAGGCCCGCTCTGTGCCGAAGGGCATCTTACCACGTGAAGGAAAGCGAGAGCCCGAGGTGGTCCAGGCGCGGGGGATCAGACACTGACTCAGAAGGCCTTGCAATCTGGGGCTACTTTGAGGGACGGAAGAGTGATCCGTGGGGAGCCTGCATGAAAAGAGAGATTAGAATCCTAAATCCAGCCCAGTGGGGGGCTGCTTTCACTGGCAGGGAAGATTTCATTAATTCCTTCCACAAATACGGTTCTTTAAAAAAGTTTTTTTAATTTTTATTTATTTTTTGGGGGGGGTAATTAGATTATTTATTTATTTAACTTTATTTATTTATGTATTTATTTTACAATAACGTATTTTTTAAACTGAAGTATAGTTGATGTACAATAGTATATGTTACAGGTATACAATATAGTGATGTACAGTTTTTAAAGGTTAGGGTATAGTTATTAAAAAATAGTGGCTCTATTCCCCATGTTGTACATCCTTGTAGCTTACTTTATACCTGCTAGTTTGTACCTCTTAATCCTCCACCTCCATCTTGCCCCTCCCCCTTCCTTTTCCCCACTGGTAACCACTAGTTCCTTCTCTACATCTGTGAGTCTGTTTCTTCTCTGTTATATTCACTAGTTTGTTGTATTTTTTTTAGATTCCACATGTAAGTGATATCTTACAGTTTTTGTCTTTCTCTGTCTGACTCATTTAACTTAGCATAATGCCCTCCAAGTCCATCCATGCTGTACACCAGAAACTAATAAAACATTTAAAATCAGCTGTACTTCAGTTAAAAAGCAAGCAAGCAAACAAACAACCCATTTAAAATATGGGCAGAGGAACTGAAAAAACATTTTTCCAGAAGAGGAAATGCAGATGTCCAACAGGAGCATCAAAAGCTGCTCAACATCACCAACATCAGGGAAATGCAAATCCAAATCACAATTAGATATCACCTCACACCTGTCAGAATGGCCATCATCAAGCAGAACACAAATAACAAATGTTGACAAGGATGTGGAGAAAAGGGAACCCCCTGTACACTGTTGGTGGGAATGTACACGGGTGCAGCCACCATGGAAAACAATATGGAGATTTCTCAAAAACCCAAAAACCGAACCACCACATGGCCCAGAAATTCCACTCCTGGGCATATACCCAAGAAAAACAAAAACATTAATTCAAAAAGATACACACACCCCGCTATTAACAGCAGCATTGTTGACAATCACCAAGACATGGAAGCATCCCAAGTGTACATCAATAGATGCATGGATAAAGATGTAGCATATATATGAAATGGAATACAACTCACCCACGAAAAAGGATATGTTGCCATTTGTGGCGCTTCATTCACTGTTTTTTTTCCACTTCAAAAACCAGAATTTTATAAGTGGCATAAACATTTCCATTACATCAAAAACAACCAAATACCTAGAAATAAACCTAACCAAGAAGGTTACTTATACTCTGAAAACTATAAAACACAGATGAAGGAAATTGAAGATGATACAAAGAAATGGAAAGATACCTTATGTTCTTGGATTGAAAGAATTAACATTGTCAAAATGGCTATACTACCCAAAGTAATCTACAGATCCAAAGCAACCCCTGTCAAAATGCCCATGACATTTTTCACAGAACTAGAACAAACAATTCCAAAATGTATATGGAACCACAAAAGACCCTGAACTGCCAAAGCAATCCTTTGTAGGTCTTTTATTCTCTTCTTTTTGTTCTCTTTTCTTGTGATTTGATGACAAGAGAAGTTCCTTTAACATTTATTGTAAAGCTGGTTTGGTGGTGCTGAAATCTTTTAGCTTTTGTTTATTTGTGAAGCTTTTGATTTCTCCATCAAATCTGAACGAGAGCCTTGCTGGATAGAGTATTCTTGGCTGTAAGTTTTCCACTTCCATCACTTTAAATATATCATGCCATTCCCTTCTGGCCTGTGGAGTTTCTGCTGAAAAATCAGCTGATAACCTTATGGGAGTTCCCCGATATGTTATTTGTTGCTTTTCTCTTGCTGATTTTAATATTTTCTCCTTATCCTTAATTGTTGTCAGTTTGATTACTATGTGCCTTGGTGTGTTCCTCTTTGGGTCGATCCTGTGCAGAACTGTTTCCACTTCCTGGACCTGGGTGACTGTTTACTTTCTCAAGTTGGGGAAGTTTTCAGTTATCTCTTCAAAAATTTTCTCAGATCCTTTCTCTCTCTTTTCTCTTTCTGGGACCCCATGTTGTCCCAGAGTTCTCTTAAACTATCCTCATCTCTTTTTCTTTTTTTTTTAAAGACGTTTATATTTTATTTTAAGGGCATTTCTAAAAAGTATTCTGTTCCATCTAGAAAATTAGCACTCCAAATCCTTTTTATTTTAAAATTGTATATTGTTATTTCAAAAGTAATTGTTAACTTCAAACAAGTCCAGACTTCTATAACGTAAAACACGAGAGACGGCCCCTCATGCCTCCTGAATTTCTTCTTTGCAAGGATGTTTACATATTCTGTCAGGGCTTTCTGTACATCCCTGCAACGTGTGCATCACACACACAGTTCACCTTTAAGTAAAAGATAAACTATCCCCATTTCTATTCATTCTTTTTTTCCTTTCTCTGTTCTGCAGTAGTGATTTCCACTAATCTGTCTTCTAGCTGACTGATCCGTTCTTCTGCCTCATTTAGTCTATTCTT